GCTGTGTGCTTCCTGTATACCAGTGGTTCCCAGTCATTTAGACTGTAGGCCTCTCGTTGTCCAAAACTGACTTTTTTGTGTCTTTTAGAGAAAACCACATTGGCTTCACATTAGGGCTGAGCGATATGACAGTGCAATAACTATTTTCCATATTGAACGTTAACGATATATATTTCACTATAAGCTAATGCTTCCAGATTTAAGATTATTTCAACAATGACTGAAGCCACAAAAAGGAGAGGGTCCATTAAATAGCATAACCTATTTTCGGTGGGTTTCCAAGACCAACACACTTCTAGATTCCCATTGTTGCACATTTCTGCTGTATGATTGGCTCTTACATCAGTATAGAGTAAAAAAAGTGCAGACCTTATGGACAAATTATCACGATTCCATATAATATCGTTTACTGGCCCAGCCCTACTTCACATGTTAATCTCATGTGATTTTTGTAACCTTTTCGTGTGACCGATTCAGACAGTGAATACATGAACCGGAATCCAAGTTATTGGAATTAATTTTGTAAGGAATAAATTAAGTTTCACTAATAGTAAATAAGTAATTTTGAGAAGAGCAAGTGAAATGATTGTTCGTGGCTGGTCTCTTATCTGTAATCATAAGTAAACCAATTGGATTATTCCAAACTCACTATAAATACCCCCTCTAGTCTTACTCCCTTATCATTGTTTTTTTGAAGAATTCCCCCTATTGTGAACTACCTGATCTCGGACCCCCCTCCTGGGACAGCATGCCAAATCTACTACAAAATATCAAGCAATATCTACGTGTGAACTCTTGAAATGAAAATTAAATTGAAAGTATTGCCATATTTTCAAATGTTCTTATAAAAAGATCTTACCAGGATTGTTTTTGTTCCAAACATGGAAAAATTTCATGAATTACTTAATTTTGCTTTTGTAAAATTTGATCTGTATGCTTTGTTTTATTGGCAGTTCTGCAAAACAAAAGTCACATATTTTTGAAGACTCAGAAAAGGGTTGTTTGTAGATCAGATATGGTTGCGGCTGGTAGTTAGCAATTATTTATATTATTTATAAAGTTTCCCATTTATTGTATTTTATTAACGTCGTCTACACCAATCCCAATCGTCACAGTAATGTAAAAACTGGTTTGGATGTGGAATCTTCTATTAGTATAGCTGATTAACTATGAATATTATTTATATTATTTATTAAATTTCCCATTAATTGTATTTTATTAATTTCCACTCCAAACCCTACCATCACAGTAATGTGAAAACAGTAGTTGTACCGAGTATTATTCCATATTTATTCAAATACTCAGTAAATTGTATCTTATGGAACCATTTTTTTGGTAACACCTACCCTAAAATGTAAAAATATGTATTATTGTTATACTGTTACAAAATGATGCTATAGGCTATTGATGTGCGAATCCGCAGCTGTATCCAATCTAGACTTCATTATTTGAATGTAACCTACAATGTAAAGCTATTTAGTTTTGATGCCGGCATGTTATTAGTGAAAAAATGACTTGCTTTATGCCGGTGTGTAATATTTATCGTCAGCAATAATACTGCAATTATAGTTTTTACTTATCAGCGCTGTGCAGTGATGTATATCTTCCCGGTTGCCAGCGCGCCACTTCCTGTTTGGAACCGCGCACAAGTTGCACACTTGAAGCAATAAGTTAGACGAGCGGTCAAGCATGATACACGAACCGACGCACAACTTATAATAACACAGTGGAGAGCAAACTTATATTAACGTCTTTATTTTGTTGTATGTGCAACTCTCGTAGCCTGACAATAGTTCGTTCTGTTTCGAGGGGGTGTGTGTTTTTGTTTTGGACTTTGACCTTGCTGTCAATGGAGGATGAAGGAGCTCTCATAAAACATAATGTACATTTGTGTTCTGAAGATGAGCGAGGATCTCAGAGGTTTGAAACAACATAAGGGTGAGTAATTAATTATATAATTTAATATTATGAGAATATAAGTAGGCTTTACTAGAGTGCTAGTGAAATTAATGTTTTGCAACAATTCAGGTTATTGAGTAATGTTTAGGCATGCACCATTATAAGACTGATTCTGAAGATAACATTAGGAAAAAAAATGGTATTGTGATTACTACTCTAAGATATTTTAAAATGTCTGGATAAAAAAAAAAAAAAAACGTTTTGTTGGTTAAAATGTAAACCACTGCACTGTTCATGTCCATAAACCAATTTGATGAAAGTGCGTAAGCAATTTGTTTGTCAAATGTTTGCTAAATTGTGCAGGCAGACCAGTAGCTTTTGATGAGGATGGTCGTTTGCTGCTGGAGACACCGTTGTCCTAAATAAAGAAATAAAATAATCTTTTGACAACATTTTCAAGAGTTCACACCTGCTCTATAAGCATATAAAAGGTGTCCGAGATCAGGTAGGTCTCAAGAGCTTCCATTAGAAAAGAGAGGAAAAAGAGGAGATGCTCTATCATATCACGGGCTCCTCTCGAAATTAGTTTATGAAACTCCACGTAAAACAAAACCAAAAAAACTTGCATATACCTCAGGGACAGAGAAAATATATATTGTAGCAGTTTTAAAACTTTTTCCAAACCATGTTAAACCATTTTTCTATTTTAAATCTGAATATGAAATCTATTAAGCAAAGGTATCCTCCCATGCCTAGTAACATTTCTGACAAAGTTTCCTAATGCAAAGTTCAGACTGCACGGTATTCAAAGTAGTCGTGTGTCAGATGTTTTTACACTGCACCACTATCTGGGCTAGTGTGGTGCTGTTTACACTGTAGGATGGATCAGCGACAGGGATTTCACATTGCATGAGTTTTAAACAGGAAGAATCGCCAATAATTTTGTGCAAACTACGTCTCACAACCAAACACGTGAGAAGTGACATGGAAACAGGGCAGGTCACGTAATATATTTGTTGTTATTTACTACATAAAGAGAAAGAAGGCTGTAGTGGGGTAGAAAAATGTTCTTATTTTGCTCACCTGGCTTTGGTAATTAACAATCTCTCCTCAGTGTTTTTTTTTTTTTTGACCCGGTTGTGAAATTGCTTTGATAACATTTCTAACAGACACAGTGCTTCTGCCAAATTTCCACTGGTTTTTCCTTCATTTCTTGGGTCCAAATGAACTGAAAATGAGCGCTTTTTACTTCTCCCCCAGCCTCCCGCTGGCCTGCAGGTATCAGTACTAGTGGATGCTGCTCTCTCAGTGGCTGTTGGTGGTCGCTGTTGCCTTTTTCAGTCTGAAAACATTTCACACGGCATGGTGCAGTAGGTAATGCTATCGCCTCACAGCAAGGAGGTCGCTGATTCGAGCCTCGGCTGGGTCAGTTGGCATTTCTGTGTGGAGTTTGCATGTTCGTCCTGCGTTCTTGTGGGTTTCCACTGGGTGCTCCGGGTTCCCCCACAAGTCCAAAGACATGCGGTACAGGTGAATTGAGTAGGCTAAATTGTAGTGTATGAGTGTTTATGGATGTTTTCCAGAGATGGGTTCCGCTGCGTAAAACATATGCTGGATAAGTTGGTTCATTCCGCTGTGGCAACCTCAGATTAATAAAGGAACTAAGCCGAAAAGAAAATGAATGAATGAACAAACGAATATCTCACGGGCATCTGCGACTCTCTCAGATAGCGTCTTTGATAGTTCACACTGTGTGATTGTTACTCACCTGAACAAGCACCAATTTGCCTGTGATTTCAGGCATTTGTTGGCGATTTCTCAAAATCTGACGGCGATTCAAAAACCGGCGGGGCTAAAATCATGCAGTCTGAACTTTGCATTAGGAAAATTCACAATGGTTTCAATTATAGTTGTATATTAAATGTTTTTTGGTGTATATATTTCCACTCATAAACATAGTTTTACAACAATTACCATGTTACAACTATGAATGGTGTAACAAATCCATGATTTTTGTTTGTTTTATATGTAGTAAAGCAATGACTTCTAGTTTTTTCCATTTTCACCGAGGAAAATATTTCCAAACAAAGGAAGAAGTAACCATTTGTTAATCTCCTGAAGGAATTAGCTGTTGAATGAATCTTTTGAATCATTATGAATAATTAGGCATTCATTTGCTATGTTTCCATCAAAAAATGCTAATTAACTTTATTGCTTTGAATAAAGCAGCGTTTCCATCCAATGAGTCAAAGAGAACAAAATGGTCACTTCCTGATCACTGCAAATATCAAAAATAAAACGTAATTTGCTGCGGTAGGAGAAGCTGCTTGAGTCTTTTCCTTATTTAATAAACTATTTGTACCCCAGAAGAGCATGAGGCATGAGATGCGAAGCACAGATGCTCTTGACAGTTCTGGAGGCAATTAATAATATAATAACCCTAATACTGAAACATTTAAGGGATTTTAGAACGACCAATACAACATCTCAGATGTTTTACAATGCGCTCAGCCTGCTGATTTATCCATTCACACACATTTTTTATCATCACATCATCTCTTATAACAAAATCACATGACCTTTTTAATACTCATACTGGAATTTGTTCGGTAAAAGTGTTTCCATCATAGTTGATGCGCATCTTTTCTTTTTTCAAATAAAAAGTTTATCCTACTCAGTTATGCGCACAATTTTTTTTAAATACACATTTTCAAAATTATGTGCATCTGGGGTTTTCATCATATCCAAAATGCACATAAAATTAGATCCATGGAAACATAGCAAGTGAATCATTTATTAGGTTTTGCCTTTTGATTTAGTGTCATATTGGTTCATCTAGGACAGGCCTAAACCAACTAAGATAAAAAGACTAATTTTTAAATGTTGTAAAAAATAAATAAAAATCGCACACCCCTAATTAAAAGCCAAACATTACATAAAGTAAACACTACTTATAGCTGAGAGTTTGTTGTACCCCCCAAACTACAGTTTGCAGTTACCATTTTATTTTCAGTCATATTTGTCAAATTTCACTGATTAATTAGAATAATAGATGAAAGCCCAATAATAGACAGCCCTGACCAAGAAATAAAACAAATTTCCATCCAAGTCTTTATTTCTGTCCAGAACCCACTGCCACGTACACTCTGGGAACATTTTGCCCAAAATAAGCTGGCATGTGCAATAAAATATCAATCAATGACTGGTGCATGAAAAAACACCTTACCTAGTCAGTCTCTACTGTTTATCCTGGCTAAAACCCATAACCTCATGCTGAAGCAGCAGCAGATCAGGCCTCAGAGTGTTTCTCCATCTGTAGACGCTGTACACACCAGCAAAGGACATTTGGCTACAGCATTTACAGAAGATTCCTCTGCACAGTTCAAGCTAGCCCAAATCCCCCAATATGTTTACAGTTGAAAAATAGATAGTCTATGACTGGTCCATCGCACTTGCGGTAGCTCCTGTCGGAATTGGGACGGGTAACCGGTGGAAATACTCAACGGCACGGGCAACCTTCTCTGGGCAGATGTTGTAAACCGGATGAGTTGGTGCCTGAAGGAGAAGAAGTATGAGAATATTTACGAGTGATAATACTTTATACTCAACGCAAATGGGTTCAAATGTATTGTAAGGATGTCTTACCAGTTTGTTCTCATCTCGACCAAGGATCAACTCATTGTGAAGGTCTTTGTTTCCGAAATGCTGTGCTACAGAGAGTCCGCTCAGACAGTAGCTTGTGTGGTAGAAATCTCTAGACCTGTGGGGAATCAACGATGAGCTGTTAGGAAAGTCTGGTTCAGCTTTAAAGTTAGTAAAAAGACAAAATCCCAAGGCAACTTTTTTTCTTTCTACATTCAAATGAGAAAATGCATTAAAAAAAGTACAGTTTTGGTTTGAGAACTATAGTTAAAAAGAAACTCATTCAAATACTTTCAACTGCCATGCTCAGACTATACAATATTTTGATGTTTAAAATATACGTGATCCTGAACCACAAAACCAGTCTCATGTGGCACACATACGTTTGTGGGAATTGCAATAAAAAAAGTCAAAATTATAAATTTTTATTTTATGCCAAAAATATGAGATGCACCGATTGCAATTTTCTTAACCAATTCCAATTCTTCACATACAGATTATTACTGATTGTTTTTTTCTAATTATAATTAATAATAATAACCATGATAAAAAATAAACATCACAGTTGTCTCAAAGTGAATTAACAATGTTTAAAGAACATGTATTTTCAGTCCTATTTGCCAAATAGCACAATTGGAGATAACAGATTAAAGCCCAGTAACAAACAGCCCTTAATGTGACCAAGACAAACACAAATTTCCATTCGAGTTTTTTTCTGGTCAGAACCCACTGCTACGTGCCTTCTGGGAACATTTGTCTGAAATAAGCTGGCATGTAAAATAAAATATCAATCAATGACTGGTGCATGAAAAAACACCTTGCCTAGTCAGTCTCTATACAATTTTTTGATTTCTCATGAGGAACACGTACATTTGTGGGAATTGCAAAAAATATGTTGTACGAATCAGAATTATACATTTTTATTTTATGCCAAAAATTTTAGTGTACTGATTGCAATTTTGTTGACCGCTTCCAATTCTTCAAATACAAATTTTTGCTGATTGTTTTTTTTTTCTATGAACTATAATATAATTAATAAAAACCACAATAAAAAAATAGTCCAATAATAGACAATAGTCCATAAATAAGGTATCAACACTTGAAGTGGATCAATCTTAAATTCAAAGATGTCCTAAAACTATTGAACAATTTCAGCAAATGATACTCTGCTTGTAACACACTGCGTATGTATAACAGGGCTTGAGATTAAACAACTCTGGTCACAGAACATCAGAAGCACCACCTAATGTGTGTCTAAATTGTGCATTTAAGCAAAGGTCATTTGGCAGTTATTATTAAGTATATTGTGCCATACATTTTCGTGGTGGTTGCGACTGCAAATCGTAATCATAGTTTTACTTTCAGTTTCACGCACTGTGAAAAAAAGTGCTTAGATGAACCTATGGCTGTGAGTGTGAGTGTTCACATCTCTGTGGTGACGCTAACAAACCAGACCAGCTGAAATCCAGACGTTCAAATAGTTTTGGTTTTCAAATACTTGTATCTTGACCATATATTGTCCAATCCAAACATCACACCTAATAGACATTTCCAAACTGACCCTTGGGACTGGTTTTGTGGTCCAGGCTGACCACATATAGAGGATATTTTTCCTAATATATATTCATCAAATCACAAACAACTGGAAAATATATGAAGTGTTTGAATAAATATTGAACAGGCAATAGACTTGAGGTTTAAAGAATCACTGCATCATGACATTACTGGTGACTGTAAGCATACAGTATTCATGCATTTTTGTGTGTGTATACTGTAAGCGCAGTACTCACTTGCCCGGTTTGTCCAGAAGGCCTCCACCAGGATTCTGGCAGCAGAGGAGGATGTATTCCTGCAGGGCTTTTCTCTCAAACATCCAGCTACTCACACTCAGCGTTGAGTCTCCTATATAGACATCAATATTTGAATCGATTCATTTATTAAATCCAACACTAGACCATAATTGCTTTACGTACTTGTTGGGTTTAAACTATGAAAATTAGAAAGTCCATTATGCGTGTTGGTATTCGGAGTATATGAACATGCAGGCACCATCAAAGCTATCACAAAGTGTCGTTATTGCCAGACTGTACGACAACAAGACTTGTAAATGGACAAACACTATAACACTTGTCCATCCGCTATGGTGGCCATCAAGACAAAAAATAATACTCCTGTGCTATTTTAAACATGGCTTGGGAATGGAGTGTACAATTTTTACATCTACAATAATGTGGTAAGAGAGTGTGTCGCTATCATCACAAAGGGAAAGCACATGTCTTGAGAGCCTAAAAATATTTAGTTATGAAACCTATTAAAATAATGTGATATAATAAAAGTAATTTCCCAGAAACCAGAGAGCAGCTTCATTTTATGGAAAAGATCAACAAACTAGAACCTGTCAAGTCTATTACATTTTAGATATTCGGTTTTGCCAGTGAAAAGATTTCAAAGAAAGCCAGAGCTCAATTTTTGTACCAGTGACTATGTTTACATGGACATCAGTAATCAAATGAGTTGCCTTAATCTGAATAAGACAGTAATATGATTAAGGTGTTTATGTGGGTTGCTTTTTAAATGATCCTTTTCATGATCCCTTTTTAATGTTATAGCACATAATTCTATTAACATCATTGTGTCACCACGCTCTCCACATTGATTTGTTGTCGTAACTGCAGTTTGGCACTTTCACTTTTATTCAGGAACATTACTGAGATACTGGATGAGAGTATGAACTGCTGGAAGAGTGTTGTTTTAATGAAAATTGGTACCACATGCCTTATAGGAAAAAACCCCCTCTGCATTTCAGGATGTCTATGATCAGTCACTGACTTGGTAGGTGCAGAGAATAGTGTCAAACACCCATGTGCGTATTGACTGTCCTGTCGCAAAATGCATCAAAAATCGAAATTGATGAAAGTGTTTACATGTCTGTACAGCACTTTAATAATGCGACTAAAATCTGCATGCCTTAATTCAATTTCTGTTTAGTTTGATTAATTTTTGTCAGATTAAATTATAAAAGATAAATTTAATTTAAAAAAATTAAATGCTGTTTAAATGATAGAGTCTTGATCGTCTTAATCATATTAAAATTGGATTATTGGTGTCCATGTAAACATACTCAAGTGTGGTGCTTTGTTCATTAAATAATCTGTTTTCGAACAAATCAAGTGAGCTGATAATTCATTGACTTTCTTTTTTAAACAAATCTGCTATTTAGAACAAATCGTTTTCTTGAATTCAGTAAATCAGTCAATATTACCGGCTTGCTCTCACCAGCTGGTGATTTTAGTGTAAAATATATCAATGACATTTACCAAAATATTATCACTAAAAAAATCCTTAAAAAAGCTGAAAACAGTAGTTAGTTAATCGTATTAATTTATAAATTACTCACCCTCATGTTGTTCCTATGCCGAGGCCTTCTTCAGAACACAAATTAAGATATTTTAGATGAAATCTGGGAGCTCTCTTATCCTCTATCAGACTCTTTAAGAGTCCAAAAAAGGAACCAAAAACATTGCCAAAATATTCCATGTGACTTCAGTGGTCCAACTGTAACCATACAAAGCTACAAGAATACTGTTGTATGACACATTACTATTTGAGATAGCAACACACAAGCTTTGTATTGCCTGTAGTAAATGCCCTAGGATGGATCTAACATGGGAGACATCAGCAAACAAGTCATTTTTTAGTAGATTTTATTTTTTTTTTTGCGATTGATCACAGTTGCAACACTGAAGTCACAGGGAATGTTTTGAAAATGTTTTTGGTTCCTTTTCTGGACAATGAATGACTCACAACAGGGTCAGAAGGCTCTCGGAGTTCATTGAAAATATCTTAACTTCTGTTTAGAAGATTATCTAAGGTCTTAGAGGATTGAAACGACATGAAGGTGGGCAATTAATGACAGAATTATCATTTTTGGTGAACTAACCCTGTAAAGGCTTCAAATGCTTCAGTTAGACTGCTCACCTTCTTTAAAAAGAGCCCTGTGGAGTAATGGTAATAGCCCTGCTTGCCAGAAGGAGTAACACCCATCCACCAGCTTGTTACAGCGGCCTTGAAATCCGCCTTCAAAACGCATTTGTCTGCTAGTTACCCAGCGCTAATGAAGGAAAAAAAGAAGAGAAAATCCTCTAATTTACAGGTTTACAAGTATCAGCATTGGAAGATCATTAGAGCTGCTGTCTTATCGTTAAGACAAATCCGCCTGTGCACTGGGACTGTAAAATCCCTTCATGTCGAAGTCTGCTGATCTAAGCATCCACAACATTGCTCCACACAGATGATGATGATGATTTTTCAAGCATGTTTAGTGTCCCTGAGGAACCAGTAATGAGACGCTTCAGGAAACACGTGACTGACCTTTAACGCGTTTCATAAACTTCAGTTTATTCTCTCTAATGGACAGGATGAGTCAGGTTAAATAGAAGGTGAAAACAAGGCAAGACAAAGGACTTACTAACAAGGCTTTAAGATCCAGCATATGTTCTTTGCCTAGTATGACGAGGGCAGCGGTGCCACAGAATGTGTATCCACCGTGTGCTTCAAGTCCCGGTACTCCACCTAAACCACCCTCCCAGTTCTGACAGCTGAAGGCCAGAGGAGAGAAAAATACATATAATTGTAATGCATTTAGTGATCAGAAAAATTGGAAACCTTTCTTTGTCAACAAACTGTTAAACTTTGATATGGCACTCATTGAAATACTCATTGTCATACTCAAACCCTGGAGTGTTTCTGGCAGTTTTATACGACTATTGAACTTTCATGAGTATAAATAATTAAATTCAAATGATATTTTATTCAATGTCTATGATGTTCCTATAAACAGGGTTTCCATGCTTTCACAAATAGCAGATTTAAGGATTTTTGATGACCTTTTAAAGCACCCGTACTTAGGGCTGGGCGATGTCGACCAATTTGGCATTGTTCGATGTCTAATGTGAAACATAAGATGGACAATGTTATCGTCATTAAAGGCACCAGTGAATTAATTATTTATGAATTAATATATAATTAATTATATATTTAATATAATTAATTAATCCATAACAAATTACTTATTTGTTAATAAGTTCGTTTCAACTACCTGACCCGCATGGTCTTTGTTTTACCCATAATCAAATCATAAATAAAGATAAGTTACACACAAATGACCAACTGTCAATCACTTTTTCAACGGGACTCTGGCATGCATAGGCAGAGTGATCCGCAGGGCTGATAGTGGAAAAATTCCTGAGCCTGAACTTTTTTTCCTTGCTGATGTTTTAATTTAAACGCATTTATTTTATGTATTCGTAGTCATACTTCCGTACGTAATATAGTCATTTGACAGTACATGTCAGTCAAATTTATTGTGGCATGCTTATGTATGCCAGTAATTTCAGTGACACATGCCAGTGTCAGTGATCTTGTGACATGTGCCAGTAGGTGTCAGTATAAGCACGTTATAAGCACATTAATCTTATAAGTCTCTTTGCTTTAATATTTAAAAATCATTAGGCAAATGACACCTGTTATCTTACATGCATATATGTTATGAGTTTTCAACATGCATTTTATTATAACTTTTTAAAGGATATTATTTAAAATACCTTAAAATGAAAATAAGTTAAATAATAAAATAAATGAATGAATTAAAAACAGAGAAGTCCATATTGTAGGGAACAAAGGAACTGCCAGGATGCAATAATATACAGTACAACAGATAAGTGTAACCCCTCCCATACATAAGCATGCCACAATACATTTGACTGACATGTACTGTCAAATGACTATATTACGTACGGAAGTATGACTATGAATACATAAAATAAATGCGTTTAAATTAAAACATCGTGGAGTAGCTCAGCAAATAAACTAACTTGCGACGCGATAAATTAGGTTAAAAGTCGCGTAATGATTAAATATGGTTTTGCTCGTGTTAATTAATGTCATAAGCTTCGCCGGGTGTCGATGTCACTGCAGTGACATGCAGCGCGACACTCTGAGTGACACAGGTCACTACACATGCCACTAGCGAGTGACACATGACAGTGGAAAACCGGACGTGCCACCGGAAGTATCACTACACTCAGTGGCATGTGCCAGTGTCATCTGTACGTCAGATGTCGTGTCACTCCATGTCAAAACTGCTACTGTGAATCCGCGTTCAAGCGCACACAATAAGCTAAAACTCGCCCCAAGCACCGGCAAAAACAAATAACAATGAATGTGTCGAGGAAAGAGTAAGGACATATCTTAATTATTTATTAATAAACTTATTCTGAGTCAGTGTCGCAGATGCTGACTGGCAATCTCCTCTTGGACTCGCCTTTAGAGTTAAATTCATCTTTACGGATTACATGGAGTTTTTTTGTTTTCGATTTGTTTTATTTCGTTAAGTAATAATTTAAAGCTTTCTATAAATATATTTATTATGTCTGTGAGGCATATACATTTTGCTTCATTTTGTTAAGCGCTCCTGTTCAAAAACCAGACGACAGAAAGCGCATAATTTTGGTTTTCTTTATTTTATAAAAACGCTGTAACGTTTTTTGATGCATTACTCGTACTTTGTGAGCAAAAATGACGCATAACTTTAAATTGCTCCCACTGAAAAAATGCAAGTGATTGCTCTGGCGCCTCGATGTCCTGCAAGCTTTTTATAAGCAAACTATGCGCCTAATAGCACACATTCTTTAACGTTTAAGCTACCATTGTTTTATACTTGAACTGTTTTATATCTTTTATTTTAGGCAAGTCGTGATGATCTGAGAAGGCAAACTGATCAAACAGACAATGATGGTCTTCCGCTGGGCGCTGTTCATTAAAAAAAAAAAAAAAAAAAAACTTATTTTTAACGAATAAAAAATGCTCCAAACGTTTTAAATAAGCTGAATAAAAAACGAAACTAAATATAAACACTTTGCCATTAGGCTACATACAAAACTGAACTATTTTATAGCTGAAACACTAAGTTGTTTAAGGAGAAGGGGGAAATATATTTTTGTCCCGTATATTTCTTCACCGTTATTTCGAGAATAAACCCAGCGTAAATATGCAGATGTCATTCCCAAAACATATCAGCGTATATGTGCCGAAAACGAAAGTTTCATACAAATTCTGAATGGATTATAGCCTGGAAAGTGCAAAGCACGCTCCTCTTATTATCACTAAAAAGCATCATTAATCTTAGTTCATATAGACCTCACAAAGATCCGTTATAATTTATAAAGCTCTCTAAATTACACAATCTTTTATTTACATGGCGTCTACACTCAAAAGATGATTCACGAGCACACAAAATGGCACTTAATAAAAACCAGTCCGGCGCTTTCAGCAGTGAGTGAATTCTGACAGATCAATATCCGTGAACCTGATTTTTTTTTCCCCGCAGCCACAGTACGCCGGAAATCCGGCGTGGTGCCGGAACGCTATCACCCCTGGATCCGTGTTCTTATAATTACGTCAACAAACTTGGTTGGTAAAAAGGTGCACAACCAACAGCAACCAACCAACAGTATCTGAGGTTTTCACTAAAATTAGGATCGCAATGAAAGCTCAGCATCATGATGTCTATCGGCGATGGACATTAGCATCTTCTGTGGACCCAACCCTACCATCAATTTTAAATCAAGCACCTTTGTCATTCATACCCCGACATTTGTAGCACCTCAAAGTCCTTAATGTATTTAGAATTTACTTACATTTAATACTTGCTCTAAAAATGTAGTACTTTTTAAAAAGTTTAATCGTTTTAAATATTCCTGTTTAAAAAATTGTAAATAAAATAAGTTGAATTACACACTGGTAATGTTTGAATATGGTTTGTCAAACATTAATAAAATGTGTGTTAGTGTTATTGCACAAGATTTAAATTTATGTATTTCTTAGTTTATTTTCGTGCTGTTTTAGACAATTGATGCAATAAAACCATACATTTATTTTCAAAGTGAATTAAAGCATGGACTGATGTTAGTTTTTAAGTACTTTCCAGGCCTTGAATCTATTGGTCTGAAATACTTTTAAGTACTTTAAAGAAGTGTGGGACCCTGTATATATGGTTATTCATCCAATAATGAGTTAGAATACTTTAGGTTGAAATACTGAAAAACTTAGCAAAAAATAAATAAATTAGGGATGCTCCTATTTATCGGCCAGAGATCGGTATCGACCAATAATCACATTTTATGATTTGATCGTTATTCGCCAATCTGGCTGATCTCATGAATTGATCGCAGGTGTTGTTTAACAGATTGCGAGAGGCTTGGTGATGTTCTGTGTTTTTGACTATTGCAAGTTCACTAAAACCTGGCTGAAAAATATATATTTTTTAAATTATATTTTTTACTTGAATATTTAAAAATATACTTTTTAATATACTTATTACAAAAAAACAAATAGGTATTCATAGGTGTGCATTTTAACATATACACTCCAAATGTTTTCTTGATTGAAACATGTTGAATTCTTCTCCCATCATTTGCAATGTTTCTAAAATGCTTTATTAGTCATTTTTCTTACCAATTTTTAAAAATCTGTTTTATCTACTATTTTCTGTAAAGCTGCTCCTGACCATGATATGTCCACACTAAATTATTTTAAGAGACATTTTAAAAGGGATTTCATACAACATCATTCATTTATTCTCTTAGGTAAGTTAAGATCTCCACTTAAGTATCATAATTCTAGAGAAAATGTGCTTAATCCATTCTAAAGCTTTTTAAAAAAAATTTATTTTAAAAAATAATTTTATTTTATTTTCTAAAGTTTAAAGCATCAGAATTGGTACTTAGTATTGGCTGATCACCATGACAAGGAATCAGCACTTAGTATCTGCTGCAAAAATCCTGATCGGAGCATCCATAATAAAAATAAATCAAAACAATATTAAAATAAATGTAATGTAATGATAAAAGTTACAAAATCACATACAATTAATGCTGAAAAAATGTATGCAAGAAATAAAAATATGAACACTACAGGTAAACTGCATACAATAGTAAAAAAATGATCTAATTCTAACAGAATTTGCAAGTTTTAAAGCAAATGTGAACAATTCACCTGATAATCCAATTGTGCGTCCCATCAAACAGGGTGGGAGCGATGATATTTGTGAGTGAAGCCACAGAAGCCGCACAATATGCACTCCTATCAGATCAGACACACAACAATCACCACCTATTCATCTTGATAACCACTTATTACTGTAAGATTGAAAGCCTGTGGAAACCAATTGCTTCTCAAAGTGACTTTTCTTTGTTTATTGTTGCCCTGTGGTGAACATGATGAATCTTTCTGGCACTAATCTCTCAGTAAAAGGTCACTCTTGAAAAATGCCTTTCATGGTACCATCAAAACACAGGGAAATAAGAGATGTATGGCTGTTGTGAAGATCCTTCAGACTATGCTAAACTCACCTGACGTCCACCTCTCCACCGATATGCATCACAAAAGAGCCATCTGGCTGCTTCACTGAATACAGGAAGTCCAGGAGCGTCTCTCTGACAAACAAAACGAGCTGTTGAGGCAATATGATCAACGCAACACCTGGAGGTAAACAGGTGATAATACAAAGCAAACATGAAACCTGTTGATGACATTGTAGGCCTCCTCCGTGCCCAGGATGCAGAGCGCGTTGACAGCTGCATAGGTGGGAGCCAGATGAGCCTGTTGACCCGGGCCTCCACCAAAACCACCTGTCGGGGCCTGACATCTGGCCAAGAACTGGCATACGCTGGAAGACCACCATATTTATTGTAGCGTAAATTAACATCTACAGCAGTGGTTCTCAAACTGTTGTACGTGTACCACTAGTGGTACGCAGGCTTCCTTCTAGTAGTACGCGGAGAAATGAAATATGTCATGTACATGCTACATATATTTCAAAATTTATCAAAAATGATGTATATAATATGCCGTATATGACATATAGCCTATATTTCTGAGGTAATCTGCCACGTTTTTTAACTGTGCAGAGTTGTAGCTGCTTTACTGAGCCTACTACGCCACTGTATTTCAATACTGCACATTTTGGTGGTACTTGGAGAGACAATTTTTTTCTGAGGTGGTACTTGATGGAAAAAAAATTGAGAACCACTGATCTACAGCATTTAAATGTGATAGCATAGAGTTAATTAACCCAACAAAGAAAATTCTGTTATTAATTACCTACTCTCACTTTTTTCAATCCCCTGAGATCTTTGTTTATCTTCAGCACACAAATTAGGATATTTTAGATGAATTCTAAGAGCTCTCTCATTACTCCTTAGACAGCAATGGTCCAGAAATGTTAAAAGAGTTTTAGGGTGCTTTCACATCTGTGGCTCGATTCATTTGGTCCAGAACAAGAGCAACAAATGATACATTTGCTGTTGGGTCTGTTTTAGTTGGGATCATGTTCTCACCACAAATGAACCACTCCAGGGTTCGTTTGAAAGCGTACCGAGACCACCTTTTCAAGGAGTTCTTTTGGTCCGCATTAAAGTGCGACTGCTTCATTCAAACCTGCCCAAACAACTGCACCAAGACTGAAAACGATCTTTAATCCGATTCAACCAAGCTAAAATCATTCCATGTGACTTCAGTGGTTCATCTGAAATTCCAACTGGAATACCTTTTTTTCCAACTGGAATACCTTCTTTTTCAGTGCACAAGTGTGTTCTTGGAGTTTAGTATGATTACAGTTGACCCACTGAAGTCACATGAAATATTTACAGTGTTTTTGGTTATTTTTTTAGACTCTGAAAGTCTCTGGACCATTGTGGTCTATGGAGGATGAGGGAGCTTTCATTTTTCATCTAAAATTTCTTAATTTGGGTTCCAAAAATAAACATAGGTCTCAGGGGATTGAAATAACATGAACGGCTTTATGGTATTTTTTAATCTTTATTCTATGTTATCCCACTTATTACACAGCTACTTTCCACAAAATCTAAAAATAATACAAAATTTTGTTCTGGGCCGCAATAGTTTATAGATTTTTTAATTAAAGGCAAAGCTGACAGAAACAAAAATGACTGAATGGAGCATGTTCAAACCTATGCTTTATTCAGTCATAAGCTGGGGACAACAGCAATGTGACAAACAACCATTTAAATATGAAGGTGAATGAATCCACTGACAGTCAAGATGATTTAAAGTACCCAGATGAGCACTGTTTTGTTCGCTTCAGTTGTTGTTATCAAGGAATGACATACCTTGGAATATCTTGACTGACTAATCAGAATCAGGTATTCCAGTTGGCTGTGTAATAATAACTGATACAGTACATATTAGGGGCACTTTAATGGGCACCTATGTATATAAACACAAGAATTTTAAAAAATTTACTGAGAAAATTTTAGAAAATTTACTGAGGTTAAAATAGGATCCAAATCCCAGTGATTTTGAGGCCCACCACAACATGATGTAGGAGTGTGGTTTAGTGCGGTTAGGTGCACAATAAATTGATTTATTTTCTTCCAAAACAAAGTCATTCAAAGTGTCAGTCTTGCTTCCTGCACAAACGTTT